CTTCCCGCTACATGGGACTTCTGGGAACGGCTGGCTTGCCTCTGGGACAGTGTGGCAAGGTGGCAGGAGGGCAGCTGGGTGTGCTGGCAACCAGAGAAGGTGTTGGGGATGGTGCACAGGGTGCTGGAAGGTCACCAAGCCTGAGCTTTCCAGAGCACATCTGGGCTTCCAGCACCACATGCATTGTTTCAATTTGTTATGTAGTAAACTAAAATACATGGGCTGTATTTTACTTTGCTACATAACAAGGTAATATAAAGTAAAATATGCTACCACAAGTGTACAGCGTGATGAAATTAAAATGAAATACACCACCGCAGGTGTAAACAGTGATGCCATTAAAGCAGAAGGGCAGTTAAGCCACTTTAAAGGCCAATTTTGTCACATGTAAAAGCACCCTATATGCATATCAATTTAAAGGTTTCTGAGAAGTGTTAAGTTCCATAGGCCACTTACTTTTGCAACACGCTCAGTTTTTAGTTGCTGGAGTTTCTAATCTGTATTTCATCCAACTCACACAAGCTTTACTTCTAGTCAAGTTTCATAAAATCTGTCAATATCTTTGTTTTCTCCCTGGAGTTACCTCTAGATTAGAAAGCAGAATTGACCATTTTCATCTCTTGCTTTGCAGTATCATGGGACTTTATGCCTCAGTTGTCCTGGTGATTGGAAAGTTTGTCCGTGAGTTCTTCAGTGGGATCTCTCACTCCATCATGTTTGAGGAGCTCCCAAATGTGGATCGTATCTTGAAGTTGTGTACTGACATTTTCTTAGTACGAGAGACTGGGGAACTGGAACTAGAGGAAGACCTATATGCCAAATTAATATTCCTCTACCGCTCACCAGAGACTATGATCAAATGGACTAGGGAAAAAACTAATTGATCTCTGGCATTTCACTACGAATCAAGTTGACTTCATCTGAATTTAAACACAAAAGCACAATATTCTCATAAGAGCTAATTCTTTTCTAGTTAGGTAGCCGTGATTTTTCACTGATGGAATCCTGGAAGCTACATCTTGAGGAATCCATGCTGCCTTTCAAATTAAGGATAAATGGTGAAGAAGGTGTTTGATTTTGTTTTTTTACAATGCCACTCCTGTAATCTGAGGACCTTGCTTTGTAATTTAGTCAAAAAATGTTTTGCATCCATGTCTGGTTAAGTAAGACTTCTAGACATCAATTTGTACCTGTAAAGAGCAAGGAGTGACCCTGCAGATGACATTACTGTACCTTCTTCACATGTTCAGGAGTGATATAATTTGGATTGTGCAATATGCTGTTATATGTCACTGACTTCCAAGCCACAGTAATGGGAATCTGACTGGCCTTCAGGACACCCGAGACAAAATGCCAGAGTGGAAGCCGAAGAAAATCTAGCCATGCCCATTTATAAAAAAGCTGAGGTTTCAAAGACTCTGCAGACAAGCCTCTGTCAGCAAAAAGAAAACAAAGTGACAATTTCTTTAACTGCCTTATTTTATTTGTACAGTCACAGGAGACATCTCCATGAAACATCAATGACTTTTCTCAGGAAAAAAAATCAACGTTTAACTAATGGCTAGATCAATGATGATGAAAAATTGGGATGTTCTGAAGGGCCACCCTCTCAAAAATGACTGCTTTCCATTAGAGAGGAAAAGAAAAGCCAGTCAAAAGACATAAGGATATGTTTTGTTTCTTATAACCCTTTGAAGACTGAAATGTCTGTGCTTCTCTCTTCTCTCCACAACATGCATTTTCCCATTTCAATGATTCAAGGCAACAGTTTTGCTGTTATCTGATATTTTCCTTCCAGTGTTTCAGGTATACAAAAAATGTTTACATATTCCAACTCACATTTTTACATCCGAGACGGGTTTTTTAAGTTCCCAAATGTAGAAGTACATATGAGCTTGAAAAAATGGCCTTTTCTTAAAATTATTATTATTGATGACACAAATGGTTTGTTAGAGAACATTGTAGCATGAAAATTTATGATTGTAATGTAGGTTTCATTCCATGTTAAAAAAATGCAATTTCTGAGGGGAAAAACCTCACTGAGGGAGTAAGGTATGTTAAAAGGTTATACTGTGTAGTTTTGACTCAGTAATGACTTAAAATAAAGCACATGTTGCAAAGTCATTTTAGAAGTATTTTTTCCTCTGCCGTTTTACAGGAAATGGGAAAAGTTTTATATGGTTCAAAGTTATACACAAGAGTTAAAGGAACACCAGTGAAAAACATGAAGATCACATCATAGTAGTTAACTGCTATTGATTATATGAATGATATAGTCAGTCAGAATGCAAATAATACAAGACAGGCTTCCAGGAGATGGAGAAATTGTAGCTGTGCTGCCACATTTTCCTGCAGAGCTTTATGAAAACAACCCAGGTGAAAATGAATGAAACATAGTGCTTGCATGAAAATGTTGTCAGCTCCATTCTATCCTGCAAAACTATCACACTAGACACTATGAAGTGCAAAACGAAATAAAATTGCTTCATCGCACTGTAACGATAAAAGCAGGAGCTGGAACTCATTGAAAGGCAGTCCAATTTCTTACAAGTCACAACAGAAAAATATCTATTTCTATAGGCAGGCGATCTTCTAGCACCGTCAGCCATTCCTCTAGGGACAGAAGACTGTTTCTTGCTTGGACAAAGGTCATCCTGTGAATCTATGAAGGAGGGAAAAAACATCCTATGCATGTGCTGGTTTGGCATAACAGGGATGATAATCTAACTTTTTTATAATAGTGTTATCTTTAAGAGTGTTCACATTTTCTAAGACAAAGAACAGTGGAGGGGAGTAATGGGAATGACACATGTTTCTATAGTGTACCTGCTGTTAAGGCTGTTCTTGACGTTACTGGCCCCTATTCTTCTTGACTAGAACGTTCTTCCTAGTGAAACTTTTTTTTCTTTTTTTTTTCAGAATGAGCTGTCTAGCTCTTTGAACTTTCAAATAATTTGCTGCTTTAAAAAAAAATGGACAAAATCTTTCCAAATAAAGTGTTTTTTTCATTAACCTGTTCTTCTGTCATGACGTCTGCAGCCCAGACTCAGCACGCGTGCTAGGGCAACTGTCATGCTAGGGCAACTGTTGTGAGTGCTACCTCCAAAGCTGCAGAATTAGGCTGTTGTTTTGGCCTTATGTGAAAGAAACAGGCCCTGACAACAGAGCCCAGAAAAACTACAAGCCCAATTTTGAGGTGCTGTAGTTTTTGCAAAGTGGTGGGCATTCTCAGGATCAAGCCATGCGCTAGCCCCTGCTGTCATGAATCACATTTGGTTCTGGCCAGCATGATTTGACCTGTACTGATGACAAGGCTCTTACCTTGACAGAATGTGTTTAAATGTAGGATCGCATCAGTGACTGAGTTGAATGGAAGAGATATGTCTGCCTGATCAGAAGGCGTATAAGATCCAGTTGCTTCTTATTCTATGCTCTCTGGCCTCCTCTTATGTGTTTTGGACATTACAGGAAACTTAGGTTTGAAGCAAGTATGATCCTAGGTAAGACTAACAAGAACCCAACTGAGAATGGCAGAAGTTATATCGTATAACTGTCACTGCTTGCAATTTTCCTGTAGGACTCAAGCTTTTATTAATTTATAAGCACCTGCTTTCATTGCTTAGTGTCAGGGATCATGCTTTTTATGTAAAAATGTGATAAAAAGAGCTTCCAAAATATTGCACTTCTTATGACTGAAATATTTTGATGAGCTCCAGACCTGCTCTTGTAGAACATTTGGACTAAAACGAGGCTTTTGGGAAGACAGCAAGCCTCATAAGTCTGTGTAATGATAACAGTTATCAAGTCATATGCAGACACGTTTACATGAGACACTTAACTGCCCATTAGCATAGTTTACTGCAAAGTAAGCATGTGCATCTAAATGTATACTTGGTTCCTACACAGTAAACCTCCCTAAGCCTGAGTAAATTTGCTACCTGCAAATGCAAGTAGAAAAGTTACTTCAGATTAGTAACAGCACAGTAGCACTTGTGTAGACACCTGAATGGGAGTACAATCTGCTCCCAGCGAGCTATCCACAAGGGGGTGGGAGATAGGTTTCTGTCCTCGGGAGCTGCCTGCTGCCAGAGCAGCTTCCACCACAGAAGCCCAGGTAGGGACTATGTCTCCCTGCCCTGGCAACAGGGAGCTCCAAGCCCCCTGCTCTGAGATAGCGATCAGAGAGCAAGGGCTGGGAGATAAGGATTCTTATCCCCCAGCCCCCACTCTGCCATTTTGATCACAGAGCTTGAGGCTGGGAGACCCTTATCTCCCAGCACAGGCTTCGTGACCGTGGGGCCAGTGCTGGGAGATAAAGATCTCCTAGCACCAGCCCACAAGTCATAGAGCAAGCGCTGGGAGATAAGGGTCTCCCAGCACTGGCACCACAGTCATGGAGCTGGCACTGGGAGCTCCCTGCTGGTGGGGGCAGGGGAGCCTGATCCCCACCTAGCCCTGCGAGTGCAGAGGTGGGGAGGAGCAGACTGAGGAACTTGTCCCCCCTTCACCCCCAGCTCTCATGCGCTCATGGAGCTAGGAGGGAAACAAGCCCCTGACTCTGTTCCCCCTGCCCCCCAGCTCCGAGCTTGTAGATCTGAGCAGGGAACAAACTGCCCAGCCTCTGCCTGGCATGCAAAGCGAGAGGTGGGAACTGTCCTGGTCAGGGACAGGTCCCAGCCCCATGCCCTGATTGGGTGATCAAGGCATGGGGCTTGGAAAGATCTGCAGGGGTGGGGTAGGTCCCAGCCATTGCCCTGGTCCACTGGTGGGACAACTAGCAGTGAGCTAGAGTAGCTTACACCAGAGTAAACTTCGGCCAGATCAAATGTATGTGTAGACACGCCCTGCATGTTTCATCTCTTTGAAGGAAAAAAAAGCTATGGAAAACTGAACGGTGCTAAGAAGTCAGGTTGGGTTTGTTTGAATTCTAAAACAAAAGATAGGTTGGTGAGTTATTATTGTGGGCATCATCAGTATGTTCATATTGTTTTGCTTAATTTTATTTAGAGGGACAGAAAAAACATTTTGTAACCATTGGAGGGATGATCCCACTTCTTGTTGCCTCCCCAAGTTTACTATTTCTCTTTTCAAAACTCTTCTCTAATCACTATTCTCTGCTGTCCCTTAATGAAGCTCAGAGGTGCAACAGTGGGTCTTGCTCCAGGATTTGAGGAAACAGTTTTAATTATTTCAAAACACACTTGTTGCTTTTAATGTTTTCTACATGATGTGCAACAAATCCAATGAAAGGAAAAGGCAAGAACTCATGCCAAGAAATTAATGTTGTATTACAGGAAAAGATCACATGGGCAGGACTTCTGCTTCGGCACTTTATCCCTTGATCTGCTCTTTCAGTAACAAAATTCTGGTGCTCTGGTACCTAACACTCATTTCCTTTGAGGACTTGTCCTGAGTAATTTATTCCCTAGACTTACTGCCCTCTGAATGAAATCCCTGTTATAGCTGAATTAGCCTTATTTTCATGTACAGAAGAATGCCTTCTATTTTAAAACCTTGCATTCTTAGTTTCTCATTCTATCCCTTCAAACCACTTCTTTCAGCTGACAACACTGGCCAAAGCCTGGATTTCTCTGTGGCTACTTTGGACTGTACTGGTTGCAAAAGGTAACCATTGGCCATGAGAGAGCACCTGACATTCCCACAATGCAGAAGCAGCTCAGGCTGCTTCCCAAGTTAATGCACTAGCCTGATCTCACCAGTTTTTCCTAACTAGACCCAAGCTGTCTCTAGGTCCTTGTGTCTGCCGCTTTAGCTGGACCTCACCTATTATCTTCAGCCTTTCTTAATAACAAGTATTTATGTATAGACTGAGGCATCTTTGTTGCCAGAAGGTATTTGTTTTATGTGGGGATGATTTTCCTCCTTAAGCATGGCCCACACTAAAGGCCTTTCTTCGGGATAGAGTTACTCCAGAAATGAGCGTGGTCTTGCTCATTCATCAGTGGTATCCTTGTAAAACAAGAATGGGCTGCACCACTGGCACTGGATGGCCACTCTGGTATGGTCTCAGTGGAAGGGCAAAACTGAAGGGACTCCACAGACTCATATCCACAAAAGGACTTTGATGCTCAAACCTGGTACACTGCCCTGCTTCATTGTGGCTCTCCATACAATTTAACAAGAGAGTTTGATGCTTAAGAATGGGATCCACTGAGGCCAGTACACTGTGTGGGAAGCCATCATGAAGTGCTAGGGACAGAGGTGTAACACAAGCCCCAACCATCTCAGGAAGGATGCACCAGAGGCAAAACAGCTCATTTTGTAGCTTTAACTCAGAGACTGAACTAACCTCTCACCTACACAATCTCATTCTACATCTAGTCTGAACCACATTAGTTAGCCAATTGCCTATTACTGTCTGTAGTACCTGTTCTGAGATTAAAACAGGACCTAAGGGAACACAGTTGTGTCTGGCATCTTCATCACCACTCAGATTAACTCAGTTTCTGTTTAAAAAGTTAAGCAATGCATGAATCCAGTATCAATTGCTTGGGCTCTTATTCTCTTGTTCTCCATGTACATCCCATTCCTTTAACTGCCTGCACACTGACCTGGTTCCAAATTAGCTTTTTGAATTAGACATGTATAGCACAGCGCAAAGAGATACAAAAACTAATAAAAGATATCAGATTTACCCAAAGAACCTTGTCTGCCTGTGTCCTTAAACCAACACGGCTACAACCTAGACCCATTAAAAATGAAGCTTACATTTTTACCTTTACTCAAAAGCCAAGTAATGTAGTGAATATATTTAACAGAATAGGTTTCTCTTGGGTAGAGCCCTGTGTCTATGCTGCTTGGCTCATTCATTAGGATCCTCTTGTCTTCTCTCGTACAGCAGTTCTCTTAGATACAGTGGCAGGATAACTGTTAGCAATCATTCATTTTCTTGTGATGGCTATATTCCCTTGCATTTAAAATAATTGGGCAGTGCTCCGATGCATGCTAATTAGCATGTGTCAGAGCAGACTCAATCGAATCTGCTACAAGTCTGCTGGAGTATGCTAATTTCAAGCACCAGCAGCCTCCACATCACGTGATTCAGCGTCCCCACATTCCAAAAAATAATCTCTGACTTAGGCAGTGGCTGTCTGAAGTGTGTA